GTTCAAGCCTTAAAAATAAGAGAAACACTCAAAACTTCTGCATTTACATTTGAGGGGAGGCAGGAGGAGTCAAGGGCCAGAGGACTTGTTTGGAGCCTTGCTTTWTCTGTGGATAACTGTATGAGTGGTTACAAGAGGCTTACGAGCTCTACTTTTTTGTTGTTTTATTTTTCTACTTTTTCTTCCCTCTGTTTTCCATGGTAACAGCCACTTCCTCAGTCTGTTTCTTTTGATAACATCCGCGTTCAGGAAGCATGTCTTGCACTTGGGCTTTGAAAGTGGAGTCTAGTGATGTGGAAAGATGTGGAGACCAGTACTGTTACTCATATAAAACCTTGGGGGAGGACTGGAAGTGAGTGGTAGAGGAACTTGGGGTATCATTCAAAGAATTCAGAAGAAAAGGCTTTATGTTTCCTTCCCTCAGAGCATCTGCAATTTATTTCAAGCTTTGGAAACATGGCTTTGCTTGCTGCAGAAGTTAGGCAAGCAAAACTGCCCAAGTTCTCCGTTTTTCACACCATGATTCAGGCTCATTGCTTTCTCATCCTGGTCAAAAAACTCAGAGACAAATAACTGAAAGCAGAAGCTGGTATTACCCACAATAAAATTTCTTCTAAATACTAGTAGGAAGAGTCAAGACATACAAAGAATAACATAATTGGACTCATCACTTCTGTTGTTTTTTTCCCTAAAGAACCTGTAATTTCCTTATAGGATTAGTCTCAGTAACTAGTAATGAAGGAGTTGTGTGCTTTAATAAGCAGTGCTCTTAAGGCAGGCGTAGAAAGAGTGGTGGGACTGTTTATTTCCACTAAATGATGCTCATTACCACCAACACGACAGAACCATGAATCAAGAAACCAAAAATCATGAGATCAGCTCAAACCAATGAACACTATGTTCATTTTGTTACTCCTCTCTTTTTTAATTCTTCAACAATCATCCTCTACCTATAAACATAACAGCTATGAATTGCTTTTGAAAAAAAAACTAAGATCTTCACAAAAAGTTCAAGTCTTTTTTTTTTTTTTTTAAGAAAATAAGCCTCTAAAAATAGAAGATCTATTGTAAAACCAAGATAGCAATCCTGCTGCCACAGAGTATTTTCCATCTGACTATCATGTAAAAGAGGGCTTACATGGAACCTGAGGCACGTGTAGTTCTTGTTTTGGTTATCCTCATGATTGACCACTAGCATCATAGGAAACTCTAATCACGTTTTTGACAAAGACGACATGAAAGCAGATAGTATAAAACTGCTTCTGAGTTGTGCCGTCCCAAATAGCAGTATTACATTTTCCCTCCACATTTACAGGAATAGGGAGAACATAGCAATGAATGCAGGTTAACTCTAGCTAGTTTTTGCAAGTAATGGCATTGAAAATGGAACGTAAAGCTTTCCATTTAGATCAGAAATCAGTARCTTCTCACATAGTTTTTGCTCCTCTTTTCATAATTAGAGGCTAAGCTAGCAAGAAGCCAGGAAATGGAGCACAGTGGTCAGAAGGTAATGGGTGAAAATTGATATGATATGAAGTCTAGCTTTGATGTTAAGCTGTGGTCAGCTGAGTTGAATTTCAAACCTCTTCAAAACCTCTCTCTTGGGCCTCTCAGACTTGCATCAACAGTATCTCAAATCTCTCCCAGCTTGTTGGTCACATCTGAATCTATTCTCATGCATCCATGAGATTGGATGAAAACTGGGTGAAAAACTGTTTTTACTTCATATGTCTCATGGTTCGGGAACTTTTAGTTAAATAGCACCCCATGCTGCTATTCCAATGAGATAACAAAAAAGACTATACAGACTATTCCTGCAGGCTTTGCTTCTGTGTCCTTGCCCACCTGGAAAGGAAAATTGCCATATGTGCTGCAGTGGTAAATCTCTCTTTTAATTCCTCTGCATTTCTGCAAAGCTTTTCAAAAATGATTCACCAGAGACTGAACGATTAGAAACTTCACTGCAATTACTTTTTAATCACCCACTCTCTGTAAACACAAAACCTTCTTCCTCTCCTCACATCACGATCTCTTTTTTTTCCAACCTGACTTGAAACTGCAAACCCTACTTGAACTGTGTTCATCTCTTTGACGCATGTACTCCCTCTAGTCAGTGCAGGTTGCAGAATCCTCCTGAAACAGGCTTTTTGTTTGCTGAGAAAACACCAGAGACAATAGAAATAGTGAGGATAACACCACCCTAAAAGTAAGAGTGGGATACATGTAGTGAAATCTCCATCCTCAAACCAGTGAAGTGTCACAACATTTCTACCTTTCCAAATAAGACAAGCTGTAAAACAGTATTTCTTTGTTAAATACAGCGTGGCTACATACCCAGGCACTCTCCAGGCTCAGTTGCATTCAATTAACAGCCAGAAGTATCTGTTAGACCATCTGGCTTGATCTCCAGGACAGCCCTGGTCCTTCCTATTTACTGACTGCCTCCTACCACTTACAGCAAGGCTTGAGTTTGACTAAAATCTGATCTTGCATAAGGCATCTAAGTTGGATTCAGAAACACTCAGAAATAGCAAATGCAATTTCTTTGCACTTTGTGCCTAAAGATTATCACTCCACTAACAGAAAACAGTGCTTCATGTCTGTCTGAGGATGTCTTCCATTTTAATGGTTATTTCTTTTGCTAATATCTAGCAAAGACTGTTTACATTCTTTTTTCTCTACATAAAAATAAATACACTGTAAATAGGTAACCAGAATATATTCTTTCCCAAAAACTCAAAAGACTACTCTCTAAAAGTATTTAAAAATATTTAACGTGTTTTCATAAACGTCTTTTCTTCTTCTTCTTCTTCTTTATTTTGGGCCTTCTTATTTCTTGGAAAGTGGCAGTTCAGTGTCCTACATTTCTTTTCCTTTGATGTCTAATTCTGCATGATGGGCAAGTGCTGGAGAGCCATGAAGATCACAAAACATCAAGGTTGCAGAGCTATACCTGATGACATTAATGTCATTTTTAAAATCTTTTACACATAGTTGGCCTGCAAAAGCAGAGGAGTAAAAAACCTCTGGGACCATCTCAAGAACTTTCTGTGATGTGTAAGGCAGGCTTGTAGCAAACACTAATGCAGTAAGGGAGATGGGAACCAACAGGTCAGTCCAGCAATACAAAGGGAGACTGAGATATAAAGGGCTTTTCCTCCATAATCTACTAGGACTCTATTTGCAGATAAAAAATGGGAAAACAGAGTAGTTTTCTTCCATCAATAATAATGCTTTGAAAAAGTAAAATTTCTTTTTGTACCCTATTCTGGGCAAACTCTTCTCTGATATAACCAGAAGAAGCCCTGTAAGTGACTCACTAAGAGTCTGTTTCAGGTTTGTGACTCAAATAACAACACATGAATACTTCCAAGACGCATACAAAACCCTATCGAATTCACAGCCAAACTTTCTTCCATTTAGATACAACCTTTATCTTATCTATCACATTATCAATTAAACCAAGTTATTAGCTGCATGCACTGAAAGGGTAAACTGGCTCTCATTATTGTGCAGGGCACAATATCCACCAGCAAAAGAAATGATGTAGAAAGGGAGGGTTTTATCTACCTCCTCTCCCTGCAAACTCATCTTGTGCTCTATGAGCACGGTGCAAGTAGGGGCTCAGGTTTGTTGCTTCCAATGGAGCATATTCTGTTACGAAAAAAACAGCCTCTTCTTCTTTGCAGCTTTACTCTGGGACCTGTCCCACTCATCAGCACTTTTGGGACATAACCTTAGTGCTTATACAGGCACAAAGACGACTTAAGGCAGATACTAGTGAAAAGGGTCATGGAAATGGAGAGTTCTGTATATTCCCATGTTTGGTACAAATGTCTCCCTTTCTGTGCATTTTCAGTAATTTAACAGACATTTTACCTCAATTTTTTTTGAATTATGCTAGGGAATGTGCATGCCACATCCCTGTGACTCAAAGAGAGCAGTAACATTAGAAAAAATGAAGTCCAATTGTTATTGTTAACTATGCACTAGCTCCTCAGACCACAGGATACACCACTGTTCTACCTCTGTGTTATAAGGGCATTATAAGGGCAGTACAAATAAATATATAAAAGTACAGCAGCCCCAAATTTGGGCACAGCTCTGAGAATTTAATCGCTATCCCTGGTTCCAATAGCTCTTCTTTCTACAACAGCTGCCATGGTTGTCAGCTTCTAGCCTTCCATCAGCAAATGGATTATTTTCCATTACCCTGCACATTGCATTGAGCATTTACTCACAGCTACTCTGGTGTGAAGTCAGCTGGTCACTTTCTTTTTTTTTTTAATCATATAAAGTGACTTACATGATTTTTTCAAAATACATCTTGATCATAAAAAGCCAAGGAAAAACTCCCATAAATCCCTTGAACATCTGTATTTATATCTCCAATGCAGTTTTCCTAAATGGCTTTGGTCAGTTATTCAACAGGCTAGTAGTTTTTTTTTCACCATCTCAGWCACTGGCTCCCATGGCCATTTTATTGCTTTGCACAATACTAACATGAAAGTATGTTTCATCCATTCAGGCTTTCTCCCATGTTCATTCATGGCCGATGCTGAACATGCAAGACTATATTATTTGACATATAGAATAAAAAAATATGGGTAAACCTGAATTCCTATTCATGCTTTGTATAATAAAGAATCGGGGTTTTTTAACCTGCCTGAAAAAAAGAGCAAAATTTCATGAAGCAAAACATTTTGGGACTAAACTTTCCTGGAAAAATAAGAGAGAAAATATTTTTTGTGCAACTAACATAATACATTGGTTATTTTATTCTTTTCTTTTTTTTTTTTTTTTTTTTTTTTTTTGCTCGTATTTCGCCAAACCAACCTGATGCAAAATGATTAGAACTTCCTTGTTTCCTCATTCCACAGATAAAGTGCCCCAAGGACCCGCTCGCAACAGGAACCTCATCTGTTGCAAGCACTTTGAGCCTTCCTTATTTCTCAGAGAGGAAGTGTGTGGCCTGTTTGGCAAATGCTGCCGTACATGACAGCGTGAACCTCACAACACGCGCATTCGCCCGGCTGCTCCTCGACCTGATCAGCCAAACCTTGCTGGCAGCAGGCGAGCTGCATTATGACTCCTGCTTCCTCGGAGGAATCCTGCAAGCCGGAATACCATGACTAGCATTTAAAGGTAATAATTACTCTTATACATTCGAGATTATCTGTATACTGGCATATACAAATATGCCAGTCGTTATGTACAGAAATTCGAGTTTTATGCCATTAATAGCTACTGAATTCAGGCTGGGCATTTAAAGCAGGTGGGTAGAAAGGCAGAAATAGAAAAGCTTGCCCAGACCTCTTTTTTTTAAGTGTTGGTGCCAAACATAAAAGGGACAAGAAGTCAAGGATTTCTTTCGAAAGCCCATGTTGAGATGCACAGCTCCTTGTGCTGAAGCTACTCTGCAGATCACTGTAACCAGGATATGAGCAATGCCCCTGACAGTGTGGTGGGCTTTTGCTCCAAGTGTTGAAAGTTTGCATAAATGCAGCATTTATGTGCTGTTTTGCAGTACCTAGATTTTGCATGCCTCTGTGAATTAGCCTGACTASAGGATTGCATTGTGTGCAAAGATACCAGTGCCTGGAAGCTAAAAGGCTGTATGTTTTGATTAATGAGCAATTCAAGGTAAATTCATAGGAGAAAAAAATATATAATTTGTGAAAACTGAGCTGCCTTTTCCTCCCAGAAGGGGATGCTTTYAAATTCCAAGCTAAAGAGGAAAGCTGCATTACCTGTGAACCTTACTGAGAATTAAATACTAAGACCTTTAAAGTACAGACGTAAATATCAGACAACAAAAATGAAGTAATGTATGACGCATGATAGATTTCTGAATTTCATTATCTGGTATTCCCTACAGAATATGTTTAYGCTGGTTTTTATTTTGCCTTTTTTATTTTTACTTATATTTTATTTCTGTCTACTAATTCTTAATCCAATTTTGCATAGAAATTTGAAAAAGTCCTTATATAGCAATGGAATTTCCTATGTATCATGCCATTTAAACACTCCACAAGTGCATTTTCTGAAAGAACAGATTCTGCCAGAGGAAACTCTTGCCACATGTTATGTACGTAGGAAGGGAAGGTACAAAGTTGCACCGCAGGGTTTCACGACCCACAATTTAGGTCAGCGAGATTCCAGTCTTGAACAGTGACAGTGGTGACAAATTCACAGCTCCCAAAATCTCTGCCACTGACAAACAGCACAAGGCAGGACAGGGACTGGAGACATTTTCTCATCTTTCTTTTGGAAGAAAACAAGCAAGCAAGCAAACAAACACTAAAAGCAAAGATCACTAAACCCCCCATAGTTGTGCATTTGCAAACAGTTGCAGCTGCAACGACCTGCTTTCAAGAAAGTGGAAAGGAGGGGAAGAAAAAGCATAGAGTTGAGAGGGCAGAAGACACAGACTTCACGGTTAAATTCTGATTTTCACGCCAGTGAAAATTCACTGTGAAAATTTTCACATACTTTGAGCTGTGCTTGGTTGCAGCTCTTCAACGCAGCGAATCCTCAGACATGAAATAGCAGGGGTCTTGGGAYACCCAAGACATGGTAAGCTGAGAGTCTATCATCTCAGTGCTTCGTGAATAACCCTCAAAGAACTATTTTGTCTTGTTGTGGCACAATTAACTGCTGCGCAACAGATGGAGGGAATCTTTACTCATCTCCCAAACTCCGACAGCCCTGTTGTTATCGGAGACTAAGACACAGTGCCTGGAATAGACTCTTCGCTTCCAAAAGAATATCATCTATAAAACTTCTGTTGATTTGCTATACACTTAAGCAATTAAAAAAAATAAAAATCTGTTCACTCACAAGATACTCTACAGTTTCCTATAARTCTATTTTGGTAGAATATCTCAAACTTCAAGAAAGCCACCATATATTTTGTCATATAATGATGCAATGAATTTGTATTCATTGTGTTCATTGCTTGCTACACAAGCACGAACTACTTAAGCCATAAATTGTACTTTGTACTTAAAAGGCCTATGCATCACAGTTTAGTATTGTTAGAAAAATCACAGTTTARTATTGTTAGAAACTCAATTCTAATTCATATACCGTTACTCTAAAGCAGTTATGTATCATTGACAAGGCGGAACTTGAGAGAGTCTTCTGTCTCCCCCGCAAAACAAAACTTATTTCTGACATTTCCATTCCATTTTCCATGTCTGGGGGAAGCACTCTGCCTCATAACGTTCACCCCATTGCTTTTGACTGGACTACAGGCACCTTTACTCTGCCCAAATGCATGATGACAAATATCCTCGGTGAGGAAACTAGGTCTGACATCTGTCATTTTCCTTTTGATTACTTTGGATACGCGAATTAACAGTAGCAGCCAAAATTTTCCAGTCTCTTATTGCTGCGCTGAGTCTAGATAACTTGAGATCTTGGCCACCTTTGAGATTTTATGACATCACGTGTAATATGCGACCTTGAACTTAGCATGGAAAATGTTATGAGACACAAAACTGCCACACTAGTGACATCAAAACCCCAAATGGCATTGATCTGCACTATTACTATAAGTCATTTATTACATTTTTGTTTTCCGTAAGTTAGATTCTTCTCCCTTTAAAATAACAGCACTGAGCTCTGCTGCTCTCTCCTTTTGACTTCAGAGGGCCTACTAGGAGAAAAACACCATATAAAGCAACAATTTCCATGGCAGAATTTCACCTGATTAATTTTGCATGTGCTCTGCAAAAATGTTCATGCAAGCAGGTATGTGCTCATTTTCCAGCACATAACCCTTCTGAACTATACAGCAAGTGGTTTAATGCCAAAGTGTGTATAGGCAAGCATTTGCTTCACTTATTTTTAAAGTAGCATTGAGGGTTTAGACACCTGAATACCATCTAAATAAATGAAAGTACATTACTCAAATGTGCCACTCTTTTAAAAAGAGTGCAACAAAGAGTTTTAAGAAGTCTTTCCCTTATATATAAACCCTATGTCTCACTTTCCCAAGTGACCCGGGGGCGTTCGAAAATTGTACCCACTGTAACCTCAAGAACAGGAGAAAATCCCTTAACAATGTTCTGCCACACTTCACTAGTAAAATGACTCCTTTTCCTGCCATTGAAGAGACAGTTCCACCATAAAAGAGCATACAGAGGTGCCACTGTTAGCTTTAGTTTTGRTTTTTTCTTTTTTAATTGCTGCCTGGCCTTTTAAGCTCTGTGGAGATCCCTATTGGCCTAAGAAATTTTGCTGGATCATTTGAATATTAGCCTGGAACATCTACAACAGTAACAGCCAAAGCATTGGCTATAGTACCCCTATACCTATAATTCTTGCTAGAATATAACTCAGAAAAATATTTCAGAAGGGAAAATTAYAAACCTTGTATTTAGACAGAGAATGTTTTGATATATTCTACAAAGAGAGACCCTTTCATTTGCAGGTGAATACTTAAATTGCTTATTTAAATTTTAAGGTAACTTTTATTCTGCTTCTAGTTTCCTTATAATGGACAAAGACAGAATTTTTGTGAAAGCTGAATTCTGTCACTTGTCCAAAGGATGCTGGCACAGCTGCACTCTATAGATGTGTCACAAGCTAGTTCCTGAATACAGATAGTGAAAAAAATAATGCACCAATAGAGACTTTCAGCAAAAACCTTTTATGAATAGAACTAGGGAGCATGAAAAGTGGATGAGATGGAGTCAAATTGAAGTTTGCATTACCATTTGCAAAAAAATGCAAGAAAATTAGTGCTGAGAGATGAATTTTCTCTCTTGAATGTTGGAGATCTCACTAAGATCACTATAATATGTAGACAGTTTACTGTATTTTGCAGTGAGCTCAGTTCCAACAAACTTACTCCAAAGGACAATTCCATAAGAGTCTCACTGATTTCAGCAGAACTGCTCAAGTCAGCACACAAATTTGAGCAAGCCAGGATGACAATGTTAAGTACTGAGCAGCATCCAAGAGGCAGTAATCAGCTTTGAAATCTAAACTAAAAAAAAAGAGAGAAAAACCCAAGAGGAGTAGATGGTAGCTGAGGTCACAGAGTTCAGCAAACACTTATATGATGCTGCTAGAGTTTCTATTACCGTTTTCCCAAGGCAACTACCAGAAAACTATTTTTAAAAAAATCAGCTAATAACGTCACAATTTTGAACAAGTAGGACTTACTCTCTTCTGACTCTGATAATGCACCACAGCATGAGCCACCTTTTACATGAGAAGGCAGCTGGTGCTTCTGCTGCCCGACAGCAAAGCCACAAGAAGGAACTCTCCTTGTCAATAACCCATGCTTGCCTAGGCAGTGTTTCTTGCACATCCTCCAAAGCTTTGAGAAAGATGAGATCCTGGAGAAATTAGACCACTGACTTAATGCAAAAAAAAAGCGCTTTTGAAGCAAGGTGTTATGTTCTTTTCTTACACCACCCACGTTCTCCAARCTCCCAAGTGCATCAGAGGAAAACCACCAAACAACATTCTTGGTATTCAGCAATAAAACAACATAATACCCACAGAGCTGAAAAACAGATTTGTCAACCCAACTGATTTCTTTGTAGCCTCAGGACTCCAAATGTTGAGAAGAACATTTTTTTGTGTGTGTATAAAATGACTGTACAGGCAAGGCTTTGCTGTGACTTCCTATTGTGCTGGGGCACTGGTAATGGAAACTTTTACTACATTACRTTCTTCTGAGCAACTTCCCTAGCTGTGGTTTTCTGCTATTCCCCTGATAAAAGCACCAAAGTGGTGAGAGCTTAGCAAATATGTAAAACTCCGAATTTGTAAAACTGAATTTGAAGCAAGAGCTTTCAAAAGGAAAACTACATAAAATTGAAGACGCCAAAGCTGGGTTATTTTTTACGTGTTGGCACAGCAGGTGTTATTCTAAAGTTTAATTTCCATGTCTTTGATTCAGTTCTGAAGAGCTTTGACGGAATTAGAGAGAGCTATGGGAAACACTATGAAAACGTCGAGACCCTCAGCAGAAACAAGTGTGTCGAGCCAAACGGGTAAGCATGTATTTATTTTCTTCCAAGAGAAAAAGATGTTCAAAATATATTGTACATWAATGCATGAATCTTCCTTCATTCATCTGATGTAAAAAAAGTGAGTGTGTGACTTTGCTGTGGGAGAAGGAAGGCATCTGCAGACAATGTTTATTTTTAAGCGTATTCTAGCTCTTTTTCCAAGAAATAATTTAATTAAACAAACAAATGTTAAGACTTGCTAGTATCCCTTGAAAGGCATTTCCTTCTGATTCAGAAAACACTGTTCTATTTTGAAAGCAGAATTATTGTCTTTGAATGTATTTTCATGTAATCTTGTATACAGAGTTGTTCTTATATTTTGATTTTGCTCAGTTTTAAGGTTAATGACTTAATGACATTTTGATTCCAATGACCCTGAGGCCCACGATTGGACATTTGCAATTATTCCAGTATGCTGCCAACTTTCCACATTACTAGAATTATCAATAGAAGTTATATAAGACAACACACTTCACAAACTCAACTAACAAAAGAGGATCTAACACATCTGTCCCATGCACCCATACATGAGAAAATCAGCTTGCAAGACCCCCATAGTCTGGTAGAGATCATGAGTCTGAGTGGGAAGGGGAAAAAAGAAATCATTGACCTGCTACTCCAAACTGTAAGTGCGTAGGTGGAGGGTAAGCACAGCCACAGCTCCTGCTTTGAAATATGATGGTCCACTCAGGCAAGGGCAGCACTAAATGACTCCCCAAAGGTATAAAATTGAAATTTTGAGGGGCTGGGGAGAAGGAAAGAGGTGTTWATCAAAATTTTGCATTTTTCCATAACTGCTAATTGGACAACTATGTTGCTCCCTTTTAAGAGGACGGGAGAATAGTTTAGTTCTTTAGCGCTGGAAGGAAATACAGCTACACTTCCAGCATTGCTGAAGACAGTTATATAGCCCTAGGTCCTAGTAAAACACAGACTCCACATTGCTAGTGGCTGCTTGGATGTGTAACACAAACCGACCATTTATTTGTTTGCAAGAAACGTGCCTGTGCTGATGTTGCCAGAAACGCCATAAAAAATATTGCAGTCATCAAAATTGTTCTGCTCAAAGTGGGGCCTTACGAGAGCTGCCAGAGCTGTGCGCCGAATGGCACAGAGCTCACGCTGACACTAAAAGGTAGGATTTAGTAGGATTAAAAACAAAAGCCTCCCTTGCAATGACACAAATGGAACACAYGCATAAAAGATCCCTCAGCAAAGGGGTTGATAGCACAGAGATCTCAACAGGAGATTACCTAAATGGGACCTACAGGTTCAATCCTATGTGTCTAGCACTTCCAGTGAGATGCTCTGTCACATCCTGCTTGACCTCCAGCTGCCATTCCAGATGGGAAYAAGGCTTCCCATAAACCAGCAGCTCTGGCCTAGGCATTCTTGACAGCTAAAACTGTCCTGGATACCCGCGTTCAAGCACCTGAAGGCAGACTTAAATGCTTTCCTAGCTCTTTTGTGTTTAATTCTTAGTCCATCAGCATCTCCCATAATGGCTTAACCACTGTTTAAGTAATATTGTCATCCAAATCTGGGGAAAACAGGGGAAAAGGAATGCAGTACTGAAAGTGTGTATTGGGGTTAATCTAATGAGTTTGATGCCATTTTGAGTAGATCAAACCCCAAGTCATGTTGCCAAACACCAAAAGATTTCCCTAAGTCCAGGAACAGKCATGTTAACTGTAAGTCAGATGGAAGAGCCAATCCATCATCTACAGCAATTCCAGGTAAATACTGGGAAAAGTAGGTTAAAGTGAAGGATAGAAGGGCAAGGAATGAAGACGTAAAAGCAAAAGAGAAAGCAGATAAGCACATTCTGCATGAGAAATCTGCAGCATAAATGCATTTAATTGTTGGATCCTGATAAGCTTTTGTGCTGCACCACATACCCATCCTTGTCCTTTCCCGTAGCTCCAGTGCACCAGGCTTGGTCCTTGACCAAAGCAACAGGGTATGAGCTTTGTTTCCATGGGATGTATTTGGACTCCCGATATAAGAGCACAGCACGGGCATCCCGGGCCTGGCCTCATTTGGCTTATAGCAGTAGCTGCCAAAGCAAAGGGTTATGAGGAGTCACAGACCCTCCCACTGCTCTCTCCTCCCAGGGGACCCCAGGTTGGAGTCAATCCTTGCCGAGCTGCGCACGGCTGCACCTGCACAGCGCTCAGTGCCCAGAGCGGCAGTGTTAGCTCTAATTCGGGCACATCGAGGTTACGCTGCGGCCACACCTTGCGGCTGCACCACCGGCACCCTCCCAGCCGCGTGCCCTMCTTTTCCTCCCCAGGATATGTCATGCAAGAAACCAAAAGTGTTTTTGCTAGAAAATAGAGCTGGGGTGGTGCACGGAGCTGAGCTTGGACCAGCAGCTCGTTCCCATCCCAGACCGGGTCCATGGCAGGGCACAGCCTGTTCCTTGACAGCAAAGTACAGCCCGGGGTGGACTGGGATGCCCTGCTCCATCTCCAGCAGTGCTTCACCTCCTAATCAGTCATTTGAAGCATGCAGTATTCAGGCTTGCACCTCGCAAGGTATCAGGATGTGGGTACCTGAAACTGGCCTGAATTTCAAGCTCAGCTTTTACTCCTAAAAGAAAAAAAATCTATCTGATTCAGTGGAAATAACCATATTTAGCTTTTTCCATATAACTTTTGAGCTGTTCCATTTTAGAGGTAACCTACACATTCAAGTTGTGGAGGAAGGGTTGCGTTAAAAGTATTTCAGTCCTTTCTTTTAAAAAAAAATACTTAAAAGTGTAGGAGGTGTTCATTAGATCAAATCCATCAGAGATCACTGAGTGATGTGGATGTGGAGAAAGAAGATAATTGGTTTAGTTACCGTTTTGAAGCTTTGGTATCTGAAAGGAGACACTGGGTCTTGCAAGGTGTTGTAGAGTGTGTAGGGCTTTTTTTTACATGATCAAAAAAACCCAGTGAGGTTTCATTTAAATACCAGTTAAAATGAGGTCTTGTTATTTGTGAAGTGGGAGGGTTGAAAGGTTTGGGGCAGTACAAAAGCCTTTTACTTTCTCTCTCAGTACAGACACTTTCAGAMGTAACCTCTGCCTGGATGTTGCAGCCAATACTACAATTAATTATCTCCTTTTAAGAACTATAAATTAACATAAAAAAAGAAAGTTTATGCAAATAACTCCTAAGGAGAAGAAAAGTCCAGTCCCCACCCTATGCATAACAAAATGCATGTTAAATGTATTGCAATGTATGATGTTAAATGTAAGGCAAGGAAGGAGGGCAGAAAAGCATTTTTTTCTACCCTCTCAGTATGGAAACAATTTTTTTTTTATATAACAGAGTATGTTTAGAAAAAAAATCATTAAACTAAATCTATGTAAAAAAATGGTCTTACAGGTGCTCTCTAACAATTTGCAATGAGAATTTTGGGAATGGCACTTTATCTTGACTCTGTAGGTYAGGATATATTCCCAGGAAAATATTTGACTTTGTAGAAAATAATTCAGCACCAATACTTAGGTCTAGAGGTAGCCTTTGATACTATATAGAGATGTTTCTTAATTTTAGTGCATAACAGGAAAGCAATCAAARGACATATTCAACACAATTTCTTCAATCTGGTTGAACTAGTTATACAGTAAGTTACAGTAGACTAATCATGGAAGTTGATTGATTAATGCTTAGGTACTGAACAAATCCCGATTAACTGAGTGATGCTAAGTAAGTGAGAAAAACTTGATAATGTTAATACTAAACCCACACCAACAAACTAACCCATGTCAGCTCCAGACTCTACACATCTGTAAGGATGGCTGCTGGCTGTATCATAGGGCCAGCTCTGTGAGCAAGGTTAGCAAACTAAATGCATGGACAGTCATTTTGAATATAATCAAGTAAAGTCACCCACTGCATTGCTTACTTCCAGTCTCTACAGCATAACAACAAACCACTAGCCAAAAATAACACAGGAAATTAGCTTTTCAGTTCTTTCAAACCACAGATGTGAAGTATTTTCCTTATTGTTTAGATTATCATTATGACTGCTGTAAAGATAACTACACATGCTTTGCTTCTCCTGCCAGTATTTCTTTCCTGCACGCTTGCATGTTTCCTTCAGTAACACAGAAACATCACAATCAATACCTCAATGTATATTATTTGCCAGGCCAYGAGACACTGAGGCTGAACACAGACCAAATCTCAGCCTTCATTCTAGATGGCATTTCTAGATTCCAGCAAATAAATGAATAAATAAGACTATCTGAAGAGGAATCTATATTAAACAACAATGTAATGATACAGATATGTGTCTATCTGCCTGCGTAATTTCTTTCTCTACACCCCCAAAGTCATTTCTATTTTTGCACACGTTGAGCTGTGCTGAGTGGACAAATATGGAGAGCYGACAACCACTGCAAAGACTCTGGTGTGTGGTGTGCCTAGCAAGGGGCATGCTGTTTCTGGTATGGGGGAGACACTGTCCCCTCTTGTGCTGGTAGATGGTACTACATGTAGAGGATTGAGTTCCACTTCCAGTAAGGAATGTAGATGTTTTACAATCTTTCTTGCTGGAAGTTGTGCCAAAGAGTTCAAAATGCCCAGCATTGGATGCTGTGAACCTCCTACCTGTCAGCATTTCCTGCAGACTCACAGCAAATGAGAAACTCTTGAATGCTTCATAGTTCCCATGTTGCCCAGAGTGGTGGACAGGATGGGGCCTATGAAGCGTTCAAGCACCTCCACCCAAGTAATAGTATGTGTTGTATGTAGGGTTGCAAGTCCACAAAATAGGACTCTAGCCTCTTGTCCTGCAGCTGAGGGCTGTAGACAGCTGCACACCATGCGGAGCTCAGACTCACCACAAGCTACGTTCTTCTCTATCAGGACACATCCAAAACCCTGAGAGGTCTGCAACTAAAGTGATAACGAGCACAAATATTCAGTATATTCTGTGCGTTAATCTGTCCACATGCTCATGAGCATGATTCAGGTCCTTATCTCAAAGCAGACTGAGCAAATTTTGGACATGTACTAACACCTCAAAGGAGTTCATTGGCTTATTGGCTATTCTTCAGTCATACATATTTTTTTCTGCAGGAATTATGGTCTTTGAGTAAAAATATTGAAACAAAAATCCCACCCATAACTATGACTTCCCTAGGCCCCACTAGTGTTATTTAACTTGATTAGCAAAAATATTTGTCAGCTGAATTCTAACTRAAAAATTAATTTCCATTTGATTCTCAACCAATCTATAAGGTCCCTCTCTTTGAAAATTGCAGTTGAGTACAAAATCATTTTACTTTTCTTCTGGAAAGGAAGATAAGATGCATCATATGGCATCTCTGAGGCCATTTCCACATAAGCGCAGAGAGCAAAATTCACTGACTGTTCATTAAGCTAACTTGCAAAACTGATGGGAAATGGACAATAACCAACAATAATGACCTCCATCTCATTGCCCTTAACCTAAACAACTTTAATAACCTTGAAAAATATCAGTGACGTTAAACGCTGGAAGGATTCAACACACATCTTCCTTTTTTTAAATGCAATGCGTCAGCACTGCCCAAAATTGTAGCTGAAGACATTTGAACAGTGGTCTCAGACTGCATTACTTCCTACTACCATGAATACTTACTCATTTTGCTAGTTTCGATTGAGCATTTTTTAAAAATATGATAATTATTAGAAAAGAAATGTAAAATTATTTATTTCCAATCAATCAAAAGCTTTTTATTTTCTTTTTTCCTTTCTGATCTTTACTATGTTCTTACAAAACTATAGGTTCTTGAGTTTTACAGATTAACATTTTGCAGTGGTGTTTTTACTATATAAAATACAGATAACAGAACCAAAAATAGCTACTTTAGAACTGTATCACGTTTAAGTTTCTTTTTCTGTCTTTAACAGGTCAGGAGAGTGATTTCCTTGCTGTCCTCTATGATTATCCTTCAGCAGACATAAGCCAACCCATATTTCATGTAGGAGAAAAACTACGTGTGCTATCAGAGTAAGTTGATCCAATTTTTAAACTAGATTAGCTGATGTAAGACTGTTTCACGTTGCTATGTTTCTATGCATCTGGCACCAAGTAAATGCTGTGAATTTCATTTCTCTTGAGCAAAGTGCTTCTTTTCAGTCTGTAAACTTTCCATGAGAGTTGAAGGCATGAATGCTTGAGCAATGAGATGGTCCAGATATAAAAATCAATGACAGGCTCCTAAAAGCCTTGCTATATCCTGTGAATAGTGTCCAAGAAGGTTTTGAATAACTCAAGTGATGAAGTCTATAAGAGTATGTCTAAGAATGCTTCAGTTTTGGATAGGTTTTTAAGTATTTAAGCAAAATAAACTAAGTTTGGAGTCAGCAGAGAAAGATACTTAGCCAAGGTATAAAAAAATAAGGTCATAAGGGTCTGAGATTGCAGATTCTTCTTGGATTCTTATTTCCCTTTGATATGGTTTTAGAAGGTGGGTTCAGATTCTACTGGATATTAAGATTCAAAACAGAATTCCAAAAAATTGCTTTGAAGTGGCTTTTAAGAAACTATCCTCCAATTGTAGTGGAAAACAGAAAAAATAGAAATAATCCAAGTCAAGTAGAAAAGGAAAATGATTCCGAGTTCCTCTGCATCAGCCCTGTGTTTGTGTGTGTGCACATGCATCTCTTGTTCAGAAGAAAGGATGAATGAGAACAACTCTTGTTATCAGCTCTTAAAACATCTTCCTAATTAAAAAGTAAAAGAATGAAATTACCTCTTCCCTTTAAAAAAAAAAAAAAATGTTTAAATGAGTCTGCATTTTTGGGTCAAGACACAGGGAAGAGAAGGTGCATGAATTAATCTTCTCAAAGATATCCCAAACTGTTCTACTCAAAATTTTCATGAGACCCAGAAGGACATAGTATTAAGAGTATGAGTTCAGCCTGACCACAAGCATAATGTAAATACTCCCAAATTCAAGAAAGCACTCTCCTTTAAAAACTGAAGACAACAGCCCTGATAATCTTCTGTGCACCACTTGTAGCAGTGCACAGTCAAACCCACGGGCACTGTTTCCCACAGCTTAAACAGAATTTTTCACTTTTGCAGTTTTGGTAGACCAGATGGGCTCAAGAGGAAGGGGAGGCCAGACACATAGCAGAGAAACTCATTGAAGGATTTTAAATTTACAGGAAACTTATCTAATCAGGCAACTCTCAGAGCTTCAAATGATTGGAGGACAGGAGAACTCAAGAGAAGCATCACAGATGCTTGATGAATTCTCAGGCTCCTCTCAAGGCCACTATGACCTAGCAGAACCATTGCCACAACAGGGTGCTGGGCTATATGGACCATGGGTCTGATCTGGAGCAGCTGCACATTCTGCTTACAGTGTCCTTCCTTACTGACTCCCTAAACCTACAGATCACAAGATTTACAYGGTCACTAACTGAACTTCTTGCTGATGGAGAGCTTCCCTAAATCAGGGGAATTCTTCCCCAGTAATATCCAGATATCTAAACCACGTCACAGTTTGCATAATGYACATGACATTGCACAAAAACTGCTTTAACATGGAAACTCCAGCTCAGGTCTCCTAACCTTTGCCAGTTAAGGGCGTTCAAAAAAACACATAAGTACATATGCCTGGAACATATCAATGGGAATTAAAACCATTGTATGCCACAGACGTAATAGAGAGCATCATCTACTGGACWTATTCTAAAAGAACTAGATTCTTACAATGGCAGTTTTTAGCATGTTTGTTTGTTATTCAGCTTCAAGCATTTCTCCCAGTAATAAAGGAGGGACGACGAAAGCCTTAATGGAACTTTCTTCTTCCTGCTGTGAATCAGCGTGTGCAAAGAAAAGACACTCCGATGCCTTATGCAGACACGTATGGCTTGCCCTAAATGAAGAGCCTGTTCTCCCCTGCTGGGGTATGCACTAAAGATAATAGGATTTAATTTTTGCATAAAGACTCCTACTCCACACAAGCTGTGTGACTCCTTGAGTCACTGAAGGAAGCAAAATGTAGCGGATGAAAAGAACAGCCCAGCAGGTATGATTAGACCAAAAGTGGCTGGGAAGTACCATGGAGAGGCCAAGATTAGCAGGCAGCAGGCCCTCGTCTTGCAATTAATTTTTAAACTTCTACTCAAGCAATATTTTTGTGGTGAATTGCAGTTTTCAGGAAGTACGTCTCATACCATATACTCTCTTACAAGCTTAAGGAACTGGTGACAACCACATCCATAAATCATGCCAGAAATATAATATGTGGACTCTATACTGAAAATACAACTATTCCTAGATACTTTGACTGTTGCATGTTGGCAAAATTAGGTAAGCCCTCTGGTTGCTCAACCTCTGTTCTGAACTCRTGAACACACGAGGAACAACTGGATCTAACTAGAATTACTTGGGGGTACACTAAATGACACCCCTAGCCTACATGTTTTTGTGGCTCTTAGCCCTGAATGGATGTGCTGGTTTTGTCTTTTCCAGCTGACACAGGACTTTTTAAGGGTTAGAAATAACACATTTTGGAAGGAGAGAGATAAATAAGTTTGTGTGTGTGCAGAGGGRTTGTTTTTGTTTGTTTGTTTGTTTTTGTTTGATTGTTTTTGTATTTTTGTTTTTGTTCTCAGAATTTTTGGTTCTGAGACAGTCATGGAAAAAAAAAAAGCAACTTAAATTTCTTATAGATTATTCCACGTTAGCTGGAAACCCACAGATAAAACCTGCGGGGCCCTGATGTTTCCAACTCCGAACTGCTGAGACTGTTTTTCCCTCAGCACATGCATGCTGTACCATAAGCTGCTATAAGTCTGGTAGTATAATTTAAATGTTTTAAATGGAATGTAGCTGTTTTGACATACTCTGAGAACCTGCAGAGAACTGCAGTCTGGGGATTATCTGGGAGCATTTACATGAATGCTCTTTCTGTGAAGCTTCAAAGGCAAGACACTGTTATTTGGATTCAAACCCTTAAAGGAATAGGTGGAAAACAAACATCAATCATCGTAGTTCTGCACTGCCATAACCCTTACCATTAATCACTTAATGTTTTGTGGCATCCCTGTGAAAATTCTTAATCCCRTGTTCTTCCAAGACACTCAGAAGACAAATCCAATACATACTATTAAAATCCAAGACCTATCAAGGAAGAAGCCTACGTGCCTAATCACCTCCTTTCAGCTACARGTCCTTCTACAGAACCTTGCAGTCCACTCAGCAGCTCATGAAGATGAGGAAAAGAATATAGAGTGAATTGGCTCCATCAGACTGAAAGAACATTTCCAGGCAGACAGCGTTCATTTTCTAAGTATCTCTACCCTGACATTACAGGAGTCACAGCAGTGCCGTCTAGACGCCGCACGCTGAGCCAGCCACACGCTGGCTTGGACACCAGCTTGGTCTAGCTGTGGGAGGACCGAGCACAGCATGGTTTAAGCACTGAAGTATTTACCCATCCTCTTTTAACTGCAGGAAGATATTTGACTACTTGTGCCATTTAAACGGAACAAACATAACTTATTTCTACACCCAAATTTAATCCTAGTGCAAGTTTAGAGAAGAAAATTTGCTAAACCAAACAAACTTGGGGTCATCTGCAACTACTCAGATTCGGGAATACACACAGAAGGTTACAGGCTAACCTGTATGCCTTAACTCATTCCTAAGAGTTTCAGAGCAAGCTCTGAAACCACAGATTTCAATATGCATTTTCTTTCTTTCTCACAGTGAAGGAGGCTGGTGGAGAGTCCATTCCCTCACAACAGGGCGAGAAAATTATATTCCAGGAAAATACGTAGCAAAAGTTTACCATGGGTAAGTGCATGCTTCCTACAGCCTTTTAGCAYAGTGTACAATATACTGCCTTGATTAGAGTTATTCACTCTCATAATCAAGTACTGATAACAGTGACCAGTAATTGTAATTGGTAACAGCCTATAATTATCTATATCTCAGTCCCCTTGAAATACAACAATACCAAATCCAAATCTAAAGCTGACAAGATATTCACATACAGAAATTTGAAACATAAAATCCTAGTTTTAAATACATAGATTTGCTTCCCCATCCCATCCCCCTAACTCCCTGTCCCCGCCCCCCCCCGCAAAAAAAATAAAAAAGCTCGAGTGTTGTGTAAAATATTTAAAATACATCTGCGCCTTGGGCTGACCTCTCATTTCAAAACACCAATAAAGAGAATCTATTTACAAGGAGATTTTTAGTATTTATAAAAAAATAAAATTAAAGCTAGATTTTCTTATGAAAACAAGACCAAATAGAACAAAATGTAAACTCACACTGGAAAAGCTAAGGAAAGTTCAGAGGTTTGTTTTTGACCTAAACACCTGTCAGGAAAAATCACTGAAGTACACAATTAAAACCTTCTGGAAAAGGTTTTAATACCTGTTTAATTCGAAGCATATTTTAACATGCTGCTACAACCGCCTGCAACAGAGATGCTTTCCCAAATACTGGGGACAGATATGGAAACAAAAAGTTACTGTGAACTTTTCCTAAGACTCATCCCTAACTACTCTGTGGATGGTAAACTAGATCAAAACCACAAGAACATCTTGATTTTAAAGTGACAGTGACTCCAACATCAGCACAGCAAACTCAGTTACATCATTACTCAGTAGCTGGGCCAAAATTTACCAAACAATGAAGAAAAGTAATTAGAGCAATTCTGTTCATAACTAACTATCTTAAAAGTCCACACTTTGGCCTAGAATAAGCAGAATAACTTGATAGTAATAATATTTCAAGTCTGGATTAATAAAAGTAGTTAACATGACAAACAGTTCAGATACGTAATTTCAAAGACTACAAAGACACAGTAGCAGACTTTCACTATGTCTGGTCCATAACAACACACCAAATACAGAGATGCTTTAACCAACTCTGCGACTCTCACACTGACCTGATGCCCTAAAATTATCAGCTTTTGGGACTCAAGATAGTATCTTGAGGTTGTATTACATCAATCCAGAAAAAGTAGCTCTTTGGCAGCTAGTTAACAGGTCTTTAATACCCTAGACATGCCATCCATATGTCACATAGATGTGTGTCTAACATCTCAAATCCAGAGATGAGAAAAGCCTCATCTCCCCAATAAGGCTAAATCTTATTCACTTTATTTGTCCTCTTAGCCTCAAAAAAGTTAATGAAAATCCAAATATGAAAAGGAGAGCATGATTTTCTCCATAAACTGAAGAAATATGCTTGGAAATAGTTGAGAGAATAACTACAGAAAGCCACAGTGTTATTTTTGCAGTCACTTTCCTGGCTACTGCTGCACTTTCAGGACCACATGCAGCTCTCTGTTTCAATGGTGTCCAAATTTCAGATTTTGTTTTTTCCTGCTTCACAGCTGGTTGTTTGAAGGGCTGGGGAGAGAAAAAGCAGAGGAACTTCTACAGCTTCCCAACACCAAGGTCGGCTCCTTCATGATCAGAGAGAGTGAAACTAGGAAAGGTGAGAAAATAGGATTTTCTCTCCTCTCAATCTCAGGCATTATCACTTTGTCAACTCGTAGTTCTCACCCATCCCACTTGATGTGCATCAGTTCGGAAACATACAGGGTATGCAGTGAGATGCCAATGTCACCCAGTACAGAGTACTGGTCTGCTGTCACCTACATCACAAGTGGTTCTGGAAACAAGGTTAATGATGGCCATGGAAAGTTCCACAGGCATCAGCACAAATAAGACCCATCTGTCTAAACACTGTTATTTACTCTGGTTACATGCAAAGCTTATTCATCAGCAGAGGCTTTTTGAATGGTAGAAGAGCTGCAGTTCTGCCTCCATCAACAAATGATTGGCTATAAAAAAACACTGGGGGTGGCTGATAAGTGCATTTCCTACGTAAGCAGTTGGTTCTTATATTTATTTTTCAAAAACATGATGTGTTTACAGTTTTCTTTTTGACTATTTTTCCCACCATTTTTATTTAATGGATTGGTCTAACAAATCATCTTGCCCGCCCCCCTAGAAACACAAACACTGACATCTATTCTGCCAATGTATCAGAATCTTTCAGCCCAAGCCAAAGCTATTCTGATTTAATTATGTTGCTATGTGGGAGTTGTGCTGCTCGCATTTCACACTTTCATTCTCGTCAACGGGCCAGGCTGCCTGGGCAGAGTACATCTCCCTTTGCATGCTATGATAGCTTTCCTTTTACTTTTGAAGCACCATTATACATCCTAACGTCACAGAACTGCAGTTAGAAGGGAACCCTAAATCATCCAGGCAAACCTCTTGCATAGCATGAGCCAATAAATAAGTATTAAATTCAAAGAAATTTAGGCTCAATGCTCAAATTTTATCAACGATACATAATTGTTTTAGAAAAGCAAGGGAAAAAGAAATCTAAGCTGCCAGCTCCTACCAGAACTGCATTGTCAGAAACAGATTAAATGAGACTTCAGCAGAGGAGTCCGAATCTCCACTTCAGAAGGGAGCAAACAACTTTTGTTAAGGCCTAGGTCCCTTACAACCTTTCAAAAAATGACCCACTGTAGAAAGAATAAAGGAATAGACATCAAAAAAATTATAATAAATAAATAAAAACAGTCTCCTAGACTCTGATCCTGGACTCTTGGTTCCCTCCATTATACGTGAGYGTATAAATTAGGATGGCCGCTCAGTTTGTTCAGGTATTTCCAGGGCCTTCTGGAACATGGAACCACACCTTGGCCACTCTTATCTAGAATTAGATAGACATTTGACCCAACTTAGTTCTCCTGTTTCTACAGGACTATATTCACTGTCAGTACGGCACAGCCAAGTGAAACATTACAGGATCTTTCGCCTTCCAAATAACTGGTATTACATCTCTCCACGACAAACCTTTCAGTGCCTTGAAGATCTTGTGAATCACTACTCAGGTAAAAGCAATTACAACTGTGAAAAACAGATATTTTCCATAAGCAACCATAAAACTGTATATCAAGGGTCCAGAATACAAATTACTGACTATGCCTGAGATGTTCAACTACTACCACAAAACAAGTAATGACAATAGCTTATGTTTTATTTCTTTGACTATGTGTGATCCCAATCACAAATATTGTACCCCAACACTACAACTGAAATCAACCAGAGAACTCAGCTATATAAAGACAGATAGGCTATGCTGATATTGCATATCACATTGCATGGCCTAATCACCTCATCATTAAACCTGCTCCCTAGTACTATTTTGACCTAAACCAAGTAGCACTTCCCTAGACAATGTTTAAGTAGATTTTGGATGCTAGCACATGCGAGGGACATCCAGTGCCCTTCTCAGAGCTATGACATCTAAACTCAAGTTGTGCTTCTAGACCTTAGGACCAAAGTTCAATTCTTGGCTCACTTTGTTTACCAGCATAGCTCTAGTATACCAGTACAGCTGTGGTATACAGCTCAAATTGCCATTTGTTTACCAGCAGGCAGATAGCAGCATGACATGGAAAACTAGGCTCTGCAACCATGAGTAGTCCCTCATTATGTCACATAATCATATTTGCAGCAGATAATTCTTAAGTATTTTGTTAGTTTATTCCTTATTAATTTCAGTTAATAACGCTAGATTTTATCAGCAGAATTTAGCTGCAAGCTGCTAGCTCAAAACTAGATTTAAATGTAATTTATACTGATATACTCTCCAGTGGGTTACACCTGTTTTAATGACAATATTTCAGTTTAATGGAAATGTAATGTGTGTAAAAATGCCTTTGCAAAACCACAAATAAGTGGCTGCCATCATAGCTCATGAAAGTGAGTTCAGTCTATCAAGAAATAGGAGGGAGGAATGCAGTAAACTTATTGCAAAAAAGTTATAACACAACAATGTGTTCTGCTCTTTAAACAGTAATGGATACTCTGTAGCTTAAAAAGTGTAAAATCACCATATTTGCATATTAAACTGGTAAATGAWATAGCCTCAGTAATAGGTAATAGCATAGGTAAATGTTAGCCAACAAGCATATTAATATTAACATTTTCTCTTGAATGCTGTCAATGCAAGAGCAGATGTAATAAAATTCAGCCGTTCTCTTGCCCTCTTGCCCTCACTGTGAGATGATGCAGAATTTCACTCTGAATTAAGTCTAAAACATGTATATATATAAAAAAAAAAGGTATAAAATATCAGCCTTCYGTAAGGACATACTTTATTTGTGCAGTAGAATATATGCATTGCACAASTGGCAGCAAAATACAGTCTACTCTGAGTGGCTGCATCCTGCATCTATTTTGTACACTGTCTTCATGGCTGAGAAGATGGAAAGAAAAAGATGAAGTCACTAAAGACTCAGGAAACTTGGTTTTAAGTCCATCACAAACTTCCTCCTAGGCTTGAGGCAAGTTTTTCAATCTCTCTGTGTCTCAGCTCCTCACTTGTACTGTGGAAAATACAACGCATATTTAATTAAAGGGTAAAGGAATGRGGAAAGGAAAAAGTTGATGCTACATCCTAATGTCCTAGTTGAGGACACCTTTTTTATTGACTATGTCTGTGTTTATTAGAGCATAATACAGGAAGAAAAACAATGGATAATGATGGGTAAGGATTGACGTTCTGTGTGGTTATTTCCCTGTTCAGAAGTTGCTGAYGGTCTCTGCTGTGTCCTTACAACACCTTGTCTCACCCAGTGCACTAACAACCATGGTATTACAAGCCAAGTTCCTCCTGTGGTGATGCGGAACAAAAACTTCAACTGGAGAAGCATACACAGGTACCACCTACAAAAACAACTTTCTTTTTTCTTTCTTTTTTTTTTTTTTTCCCTCTTCACCAGCCTCTTATATAGTTGCCCTTACAGGAGAAAAAAGCATCTGCTTCTCCAAGCAGTTTTAATTGCTTTAATACCAGTTTTAAAGCTAAGTCTAAACTTCAAAGCTGCTGATACCATTTTAAGCATAAAAATCAGGGTGTCCAGCTTGCCAGAGAACTGAAAATCTCAGTGGTCTAACTTGGAAAGAAGGAAGAATCCTAAACTAGGATTTATATATATATATATATATATATATATTATATATACTTATTATATATATATTATACTTATTATATATATATATACTTATTATATATATATACTTATATATATGTGTGTGTGTGTGTGTGTGTGTGTGTGTGTGTGTGTGTGTGTGTGTATACACATATATATACACACACACACATATAAAAATCTTGTTCTATTTAGTAATTGCTAATATTATGACAATAGCCTCAGGTTAAGCAACTGAAACATTAAGCAAGCTTTGTTCTTTTAAAGGCTGGAGATGACTGAAGATACCGAAAGCACATTGGCAGCAATAGATGATTCCTGTCTCAGCTATGGCCTAAGGGAGAGTATTGCTTCCTATCTCTCCTTAGCTGGGGATGACAACTCTTCTTTTGCAAGTGCCAGAAAGAAGAAAACCCAGTCTCTTATATACACAGGAAGCAAACGCAAGAATACCTTTCACTTGTCACCTACATACTATGAAGACTGAACCCAAGATGATGAAAAAAGGAAGAAAAAAAAAGAAGTACTGAAGGGTTAGAAATAACCCAGAGCATCCTTTGGTCCTGCAGTCACTTGACAGATGAGAGACACAAGCACCAGTTCATGACCAACTGCCGGCTACACTTCCACATTTCCTCTTCTGAATGTTGACTAGAGACTTCTTACAGGATCAGCTCCAAYATAGGCTGGGAATAGGTCCGGTACACCTGAAATTCCTGCTTAATTCAAGATGAACTGAGAGAGACTCTTAGATCTAAGAGCAAATAAGGTGGGGAYATTTTGGTAAGGATGATGTCCACCACCATATACAGAATATTTTGTTGGGAAGAACTAACTAGAACTTAAGATTTTAAATTAAGACTTGCTCTGACAGGGCTGAAATGCACCTTCACAGCACTTCCCCACACTAAGAAGCACATGTCATCATGTGAGAATGGATTCGTGGAATATGGATTCATTTTCTGATGCAAAAACAGAAAATGAAAATCTTTGATAATATCCTCCATATCCGGCATCTAAGCAAGATCTCATGATATCAGGTCAATATTGCCATTCCTATCTTCTTGGGGAAAAAATAAAAATAAAATCACTGTWTTTTCAAGTGACTTGTAATTGTGCTGCTGGTAGTGGCCAGCTGTGCCTGAGAGGTTCAAAACCTGCTAATGGGCTGAACTCACTGAGAAGAGCTGTTCCTGCTTAGCTCTGAGGTGAAAGTACAGGCATATCCAGATGAAGAACTCAGCTGCTCACAAGCTCAGCCTCTTGTAGTCTGTTATTCAGAGAACAGAGGGTATTTTTTAGGAAAATGTAAAAAATGGTAATATCTTACTGGCAAGATAGGCTTGCAAAGGTGCAATCTTTTATGTGAAGGAGACCGGATTTTAGTCCCACCTCCTGAAGATACACAATATTTATGTATAATATTTATATTAAAATCAGCTTTTTAAATAACTAAACTATAGAGCAAATTAGCAACAGTGGATATTATAAAGTTTTCCATATGTCTTGTCTGAAATGAGTTATGTCAAATAGAAACAATTGCTTTAATGATTTGTAGATTGGTTGCCTTAAATTTTACAGATCAGAGCATTTTTCACATATCTGTATCATTTATCAATCTGTAAAGAAGCAGACAGATAGCATGGTCGTTTGAACCCAGTTTGATATTGCCTTCAAAGTTAAACAGTCACTCATATACAGTAGTGTAAAATGTTGAAGACTATGTACCTGAACGAAGATATTTCTGATGAAATATTCTGTTGCACAGATTAGATTAGCAAAGTGTACAAAGAGAACTGGGTTTATATATGTGTGTATATGTATACACCTATATATATATAAACATATATTTCCTATAAATACATCTTAGCACAAATCTGTGTGCTCTTTAAATCTTATAACAGATCATTTACACTAGCAATGGAAATTTAGAGATGAAACCAGTTCACAGTCTAGTTAAACAGTCTAGTTTGGAACTTTAAAGTGTGAATGAAATTTGGCTCACAAACATTGAACACATTGAAGCAAAATGAACTCAGGAACTCTAGGCATTTGTATAATCTACTTAGTGCTACTGAACGTTAATATGTTATTATGGTGATTTCATTTTAACCAGTAAAATATATATGCAGAGCATTACAGATTTCTAAATCATGACTTGTATTTATTCATTAAAATTATATCCAATATTTATTTAGCTTTATCTGGATTTTGTTTTGCCTTTAGACAAATCCCCCAAGCATTTAGGAATGCTATTATAGCCAGTCTTGCAACGATAATACTAGAATATATCTTCATTCTCTTGCCTATGTTTTGAAGTATCCTTGCGAAAGGTGGCAGGAGGAATGGGCCTAAGGAAACTTTTGGGCAGTTAAGTCACCTATGCACTATGGAATAAATAAAAATAGGAATGAAAGGGATCCTGTGAAGTTTCCTTCTCTATCCCCAGGCTCTAAGGATGATTAATGTCACCTAAAGCACTCCTAATGTACCTTTAGCTTCTTCCAAAACCTGCCAGTGATGATGATAGGGTTGCAGGCAGATGACTGGGTTGCTGACTAAGTCCTGGCCCAAGGTTAAGATTATATGACACAAGAAAGAACAGCACAACATGAGAATCTGCTGGATGTAACATAATGTGCAAAGATGAAAAAATATCAAAGTTGGGTAACAATGTAGCAAAACTGAGACCAACAGAGAAAATGTAATTATGTAAGTGGTTAGTAAGAAGGGATGAGGACGGCAAAAGAAAATAAAAGTAGGGAAAAAGGAAGGAGAAAAGGAATAGAGTCGAGCTAATCATACAACTGGGAAGATTTAGAGTTCCTGTCAGGCAGCTCTACACGTGATTGCTGAAGATTTAGTGTGATAACAAGCCTGACATTTCCAATACACATGTACCTGACACATCGTCCCTCCCTCCCTCCTTGTCTTCCTGCAACAGAGGCAACCCATTCCRCTAATGATTCCTTTTGCCACCAGAAAGCTTTATCTCCTAGTAACTAACCAAAATTTTCTATCAGATCCAAACACAGAGTTCAAGGAAGGCTAACAACTATTAATTGGACAATTTATGAAATAGTACCTGAACCCTGAGTGAGTCAGCTGCCTATGCCCCATTTTGAGAAATGGTGGATGATTCTAAATCCGTAAGTCCAAGTCTTCCTTAACTCCCATAATAAGTCAACAGTCTCCATTTATATCAAGGTTGTATTGGTATATAAATCAATCAAAAGATTAAGTCAATTGTTATACTGATACTATTAATTGGATTTGAATCTGCATTATATTTTTTGAGCTGAATCCATTTTTGTCACACAAAGGAAAGAAGAAATAAGCTATGAAAAAGTTCCCTATCATAGTTTTGCTTTGACTTAGTAAAATCTATTTTCAAATCATTTCAAAACAGAATATGTTGCAGAGCAAAGGAACTGAAAGGTATTTTGCTATTTTAGGCATACCTGTCCTCATGGGCAAGCTCCATAAATCACACATCTCTGTAGGTAAAGAGACAATCCCATTTTTCGTTATTTTGATAAGAGGAAAAGACTCAAACAAGGAATACAAAATTAATCATCGCAGAAAAACTATATTGCTTCACTRGATTTTCTTTTAGGAAAGGTGCCTCTTTTTTAGATTCTCAGTTTTAGAATTCTTTGTGATGCAACTCTTTTTTCTTTACAGTAAAATTGAGAATACTGATGACAATTATAAACYTGGAATGAAAATATGAAAATAAGCAATGCTGCTTTACAGGATGACTACCTGAGAAGTCRGAGTAGGCCTGAGAATACTGAACTACAAACAAACCAACCAAACAAAAAGTACACCAAACAAAAAGAAATTGGGTTTGTTTTCAAGCCACTGTTACTACTGATTACTTTTATTTTTTCCAGAGTATGTCATAAAACARCCAGTATCCAGCATGCCACTATTTGGATAAACTCTATATATTACTTTGAAAAAAATGAGGGTCCTGCTTTTCCTGAGACAGTACTCTTCCCTGTCTTTCATGAAGAAAATTATTGTTACAAACATCAAATTAATGAGAAGAAAYGAGGCATCTGTCTCTCATTGCACTTGCCACCATTTTCCACAATTCTACATCTTGCTGTAGGGGAGGAGTTCAGATCTTATTTTAAAGGAAGGATTTTTAACTTGAGATAAAAAGTACTATAAAAAGATGGAACTATACTCAGAGCAGATTAACTGCTATCCCAAGAGCTGGGTAAAACTCTGGAAATTGAGGGAGGAGTTGACTGAAAATGAGACTATTAAAATACAAAAAAAAAAAAAACCCAACTACTTAGCAGTTATTTCCAAGAAATACCCTTGCCTTTCCTATTAGATGTCATGAGATTAAAATAACTTTATCAGGAGATGGAGATGAAAAAGGTGAGATATATTTCCTGGAGCAAGGACACACTGAAGATAAGTTAAACCCATGGACCCATCATTATTTTCAAGTCAAAATTTTATTTAACTAGGCCCTGTGTTTCTTTCCATTGCTCACATTAGCAAGTGAATAGTGCTAGCRGGAGAGATCATTCTGCCCAAGCACAATTTCTGCAGGACACATAATCCTTCACTGAAGTTCAAGTCTCACTTCATAGAAGAATAGCTGACCTAAAAGTCCTCAGATTCAATGATCAATGGGAAGGGCTATAAGAATAGGAATAACTTRGGGCAACTGTGATAAGGTCCAAGCAGACAGCAAAGAAGCCTTTGGTAATTCAACTCCTGAGTCTTTGAAACTTGCTTCTTCTTTAAATGAGAGAGAGCATCTGTCGTGAGATCAGATAAAAAAAGTGGATACTTCAAAYAGGAGGATGTTTGGCTCATCAGTTCTAGAGTATAAAAACCACTGATCAACAGATGTATTTCTGCAATGGAAACTAACCTATTGTACCTATAAGTTATGAAACAAGGCTATTTATATAACACATGAAAAACCACAGTGATGAAAAATGGATTCTTAGTATGATTAATTCAGTGACGGAAGTGGATTTGTTCTACATCCTTCTGAAGCACCTAACTCCAGAAGGTAACCATCTCAGGTGAGTTGAAAATAACTGCAGCAGCAGCAACAATATTAGTGGAGGAAGTAAAGCCAGCACTCACATCCCTTAATTCTGAAACATCTTTTCATTAATACGTTCTATTGACAAGCAAAACCAAAGCAATGGGACATACCATCAATAATATCCTCTTGAAGAGATCCGTATCTGCTGTCTCAGTGAGCAGGTGAATGCTGGTGATGTCTGCCCCACTGCGGTCAGCTCCTAAAGAAACCTGTCCAGGATCTCCTCCAAAACGAGCAATGTTCTGCTGCACCCAMTTCAGAGCTGCCAGTTGATCCAAAAGGCCTGCATTTCCACTCACCTCAGGAGAATCTGTTGTGAGAAAGTAAAAATAAAGAAATAAAAATRAATCCAAAATGAAATAAATCCATAAACGTTTTAAGCTTTGTTTAACTATTACATTTTTAGCAGATTTTGCAGCTGAAATTTGCACTCATGAACAAATACTAGATTTAGTTACTGGTAGCTATAGGCTTTATGCAGGCTTAAGCAGCGAACTCCAGGGTGTCTATTTTGCGATATACATGGAGGAAAAAAAAATTCTGCATCCATATAGATGCAGACTAGATGCAGTTAAAATCAATTAAACATCTACTTGTTTAATTTCCAATGCTTTCAAAAATATGTGATCATCCCTTTCATTTTTTCCAGGAGGTAACATATGTTCTATCAGCCAATAACCCAGYAAGAGTTTGGCTAAAAATTAAGTTAAACAAACTCACATTCCTGAGGTCTGAACCTACAATTTATTGGCAAAGATGGAAACGTTCACAGTATTCATTCAAACTCTATCCCAGTTTTGAATCAAAAAAGTTGCAATGTGGGAATTATGATAAATTCCTTTTTTTTCTGGATCCTTCTGTTGGAAACACAA